GGATGTGTGTTTCAAAAGGCAAGGGCAGCTACACCCATATGGCCTTGTTGATTGCAGCCCACATGACCTTTCTCTTGGCCTACCGCTTGGTGTCTATGGTTTTCCTCTGTACACTGTGCACATTCTTAGTATCTTTGACTTCCTGGGATCTCCTTTAGCTTCATTCCCACAGCTTCACACACCTGCTTCTTAAAGGCACACTGCCTAGCCTCACAGGTCTTCCTCTAAAATCTGGGTGAAAGCTTCCATGACCCTACAACTCTTTTATTGCTTATACTGGCAAACCAGCATTACACGGACAATGCCAAGGTCTGCTGCCAGCCCAAGCAGTAGCCAAGTCCCCTGAACCATGGATGTAGTGGCTTCTTAATGCCTGGACAGTTGACCCAAATAAAATGAATCCCACAGATCCAATTCCCTTGGTAGCCCTTCTTGAGGACTCCTAGGACTGTCTTCTCAAATGAAAGGTTTACGATTTTGCACTCTTACACATGCCACGGGTGGGGTCTTACTGATTCCTGAGATTCATTCCAGGAATGTTTTCTGTCCCCGTTCAAAGTTGTTGTTGTCTTCTTAATTTTTTTTTTTTTTTTTTTGGTTTTGGTTTTTCTCCGGTACCAGGAACTGAACTCACGACCTTGCGCTTGCCAGGCAGGCGCTTTGCCGCTGAGCTAAATCCCCAGCCCCCGTTGTTGTCTTCTTAATGGCACTAATTTCTTTAACAATTTTCCTCTGTAGATTCCCAAGTTTACCTGTAGTTCTTTATGGGCCAAAATTTATATTTTTCAAATCTTTGTGCTCAGCTTTTTGCTCCCAACTTTCACTATAAATCTGGCTAACAGCAGCCAACGGTATGCATACCACAGCCTGCACGCTGGGCTGTCTTGAAATTTCCTCTGCCAGATCAATTATTCTACTATCTTTAAATTCAGCATCATACAATCTTAGGACATGGGCAAAATATAGACACGTTTTTTGCCAGGATGTAACATGCATGGCCTCTAGTCAAATTTCCAGTGGAGACCATCCGATCTGAATTTTCATGAGCCTATCCCTTACTTTCTGCATTTTTGTCAGCATTCTAGTCTTCCAAACTGATAGCATAATTGTGCCTTAAGCTCGGCTTACAGCCTTTTAGGCTTTCTCCACCATTTCTCAAGTTTTCCAAATTCCTGCAAACCAGTTCCAAAGACCGTACAGTTAGATATAATCATAGCAATTACCCTGCTTCTCTAGTAGTAATTTTCTGTATTAGTCAGCTTTCCTGCTGCTGGGACAAAATAACCAATCATGTTTCAGAGATTTCAGTTCACTGTTGGCTGGCTCCACTGCAGGAACATCGTGGCAGAAAGGACAGTTGAGCAAAGCTGCTCAGTTCATGGTAGCAGGGAAGCAGAGCAGAGGGAAAGATCATTAGAAAAGAAAGGGCTAGGAACCAGACACAGCTCCCAAGGTTGGCTCCCATGACTCATCCAGACACACCCAGAAATGTGTTTTACTAATCTGCTAGATGTCTCATAATCCAGTCAAGTTGATAAATAAGTTTAACTATGGCATTGACACTCTGCACTGATCTGAATTTTAGTTGATTTAGAAAGGGGAAAAAAACAAGACAAAAGGTGAATGATATGAGCAGACTGGGCTTAGGTGAGAACAGGAAAAAGGGGTAGAGAGGTAGAAAAGTAAAAGAAGGACTGGAAAACTGAACAAGTATTCAACTTGACCTTCAAATTGTAAAGCTCTGGACTATAACTTTGTATCTATTAGGCTTTTCCAATCCCCCATATAAATCTGTAGGTTAGATAAAACTGCTACTGTATTATTTACTTCTGTTTCATAGATGATATAACTAAGCCTTAAGAGGTAAACTGATCAGTCTGATGCCACTCTTTAAAAAGCAAAAGGCAGCTGGCCTAAGAAGGGAGGGTTTAAATCTATGTTTTTTTACAATATGCTATGCTTTTTTCACAGAAAGGGAGCTAGAAGAATCTAAAGGGAATTTTGTTGAGAAAATGCTTTTGAGTTTCCCAAGTCTAAATAAAGTTGCCATTGAGTTCATTATCTACAATATTTCTTCCATATCTAAGAATTTGGGAACACGGTAGGGTGAAATAATAGAGACAGGCTTCTTCCCACTTTAAACTCATAGAAATGCTATACACACACGCACACACACACACACACACACACACACACACACAGGTACGGCGCTGAGAGGAGACAAATTAGTTCAAGAAAAGAGAAAGAAAGGGACATCCTTGGATACTAGAAATAAAGAAAGAACTTAAAATTGGAGAAGGGAGAAGTGGAAACTGACATATAATCAGAGCTTCAGGGGCTGGTGCCTGCAGTTTTACTGCTCATCCAGGAATAGCAGATCTGTTTTCCAACTGTTAGCCAAGAGTATATGTTGGTGAGGGACAGACAGACTGTAGTTCCCTTCATGAAATCTGGATTCTTGAGGAACTGCCTAGTCAGTTAAAGAAACAGCTGGCAGGTGCTGGGGATATAGCTCAGTGGCATAAGTACCTGCCTGGCAAGTGCAAGTTCCTGAGTTCGACCCTGATACCAATGAAAAAAAAAAAAAAAAGGAACAGTGGAAAAAAGTGTCCATAGACTCAAGGAAGTAGAAAAAACTCTTTGTTAGGGTCCTCAAGCAAGGTGGTATGTGGATGGCATGGAAACTCTGAACTGAGTAATTTTAAAAATCTTATAATTCCTGAGATCCTGGCAGCAATAGAAATGAAAAGGTACTATACAGGGCTACTTTCATAATACTGAAGAACTGAGGAACACTGTAGGACTTCCGTAGGAGAGAAAAAAAATAATCCTGCCGAAGATGTAAACAGTTTCAAGTTATAAAACATACAATGAGATACATTTTCATAAAGTACAGGAAAATATAGAACAAGTGGGATATATACCTCCATACTCTCAAAAATATTTCCTTTGAAGGAAACTATAAAATAAATATGCTTGAAGTCTGGGATTATGATACCTCTGGCATTGCTCTTGTTACCCAGGATTGCTTTTGTTCAACACTGCTGGTCATTACAGAAATGCAAAGCAGAACTACACGGAGATGCCATCTTATCCCAGAAAGACTGGTCTTATCAAGAAATCAAATAATAATAAATGCTGGGGGCGTAGGGGGAGGGGTAGAAAACCTTTCTACATTGTTGGTGGGAGTGTAAACTAGTACAACCACTATGGAAATCAGTATGGAGATTCATCAAAAAACTAAAACTAAAAATTCCATTCAACCCAGCTATCTTCCTTCTAGTTATCTCCCTCAAAGAGTTGAAGGCATTATATTACACAGATACATATATACACGTTTATAGCAGCACAATTCATAGTAGCTAAATCTATATGTCCATCGATAGAGGAATGGATAAAGAATATGTGTATTTTACACAATTGAGTACTGCTCTGCCATAAAGGAAGATAAACTTGAGTTATCTGTAGGAAAATGGATGCACCTTGAGACCATAATGTTAAATGAAATAAATCAGACACACAAGCTTAAATATCACATGGTTTCTTTTACATGAAAAACCTAAATTATAAATAAAGATTAAAATAAAAGATAGATAATAGGAAGTAGGGAGCTAGATCTTTCTCAAGTGGGAAGGGGATCAAGAAATAGAAGGTGGAGGGAAAGGGGATTTTAAAAAAGGAATTAAAATATGTCATGCACATGTATCAACTCCACATAAAGAATATAAACATTATGTATCACAAACAGGTGCTAATAAAAATAAAATGATGTGAAAAATATAATGGTAGGGAAAAAGTAAAATACATATGCTAACAATGATTACAATCAAAGGTATAAAGTATAATAAAAGATGAATACATTTTGCAATACTTTAAATGTGAAAAAAAACAAAGAAATTAAAAATTATAGTTACTTGAAATAAAAGAGAGTAGATACAGTAAAAAACAGATGAGATATCACTGAAGAGATTCTTAATTAACTAGAGGGAAGACAGGAGTAGGAGTACATCATCCAGAATGCAGCAAGGAGAAATAAAGAATACAGAGCATGTGAGTACAATTAAAAGATACAGGAGAGTGAACATCTAATAGAAATGCAAAAGGAAATGTGGGGAAACAGATAATGGCTAGAGTTTTTTAAAAATGAAGATATGGGAAATGGGATAATTTCTGAATAGGAAGATGAAGAAAAAGTAATCTGTACTAGACATAGATTAGTATAACTGCACAACATTAAAGACAAAAAAACCCAAAATTCTGAAAGCAACTAGAGAAGAAATTACTTTAAAAGAAATAACATGAGTTGGACAGAAGATTTCTAATCAACAGCAATATAAATTAGAGCCTATGAAACAACAGCTTCAAAGAATGGAAGGAAAACAACTGTCAATCTAGTTAATGACTATTTTTTCCCTGTTTATTTCTTAAATCAAAGGTGCGAGATGTGCCAGCAGACGATAGGTCAGAACTAGCTGAGAAGAGCAAAACCAACAATATCTGTGAAGTATTTGTTTCAGTGGAAACTGCACCCATCCCCTAAATGGGAGAGCAAACAAATAACTCAGAAATAAGGTTCCAGAAGCTTCTATATTTACACTACATTTCTGGCCAGAAGTTGGCAGTCTTAGTGACACAGGCTTAGGCAGGAATATTTACAGAGCATGTCAAGTAAACTGATACTGTATATAGCACAGTGATTAAAATGGAAGTCTGTGGAATCAGGCTAACTAGGTTTAACTCTTGACTTTGCTTTTCATAAGCTGAATGAATGTGGCCAAGTTACTTCCCCATGTCTTAGCTTCTGCAATTATAAATCACAGTTTAAAAAGTTTAACTAAGCTAAAATGTGCAAGTCATTTGTAGCTGGCAGATAGTAGGAACTTAATAAATGCTAGTTATCATTACTTAATCTTGACTATAGTACTATAATTTGATCATGTAATTTGAAGCAATTATCTTTCATATGACTACTGAAAAACTAAAACATATGAGACACATACTCTGACATCCACTGAACAGCCCACAGTCCATGATGGATTTCCCAGCACTTGATTCTGGCATAGAAGATGGACTAGTGAAGATTTCCCAACACCTGTACAAGAGATAAGAATCTGAATCATATTAAAGAAACACTAAAATTTACTGTAGTGAACATAAGACTATGAATGTGTAGGAATAATGATATTTAAAGCATAGCTGTCTAAAGACTGCTCACACCATAGCCCCATCCAAGCTTCACTAAATAAAGGGAAGATGGTTAAGAGTAGTGATTCTCTCAAATTTAGCATCAGAATCAGAGCACCTGTTAAAATAGGGAATGCTGAATCCTGCCTTGAACTTTTTGACTTAGTAGGTCTGTTATGGGAATTTAAGATTTTGTACTTTCCTTGTGTCCTCTGCTGATACTGATGTTCCTAGTCCAAGGGCGCTTCTTGGAGAAACACTGGTCTAGGATAATTTTCTATTAACTAACCGCTTTTGTTTTCAGTGATTTAATCTGTTTAGTGTATTTTATAATCATAGAATCTTAACCAGTCTTAGTGGCCATCCCTCCATCCTGAATATCCATACAGACATCTCTTCCACAGCACTGTTAGATTGTGCTTCGATGCTGTCCATGGCAGGACTCACCATATTCAGTCACTCCACTTCTCCCATATAGTGATTTTTTTTAAAAGAGCAGCTAACCACTTGGTCCTTAGATAAAAAGAATAATTCTACTCTCTTTTCTACATGATGGCCTTTTATTTTGAGGCAGCACTTTACCTCTTAGATCTCTTGAGTTCAGGACAATCTAATTATTAATGCTGAGGGGTGTACTTGGAGATCTGTATGAAGGGGAAAAGGGATGAGCTCTCCTGTATATCTACATGTGCAGCCACTCACTCATTTAACATCACTTTAGCCTCCTGCCTCCTCAGTGCTGGCATTATAGGAGTGTGCCACCACACCTAGCTTTTCTGGGTAAATATCTTCATGCAGTCATACTGTACAGATCTTCATGAATTAACTGTTTTGGGACATAACTCTTAAGACAACACGGGATGGAACAGGTGAAGTGCTAGGAAATGGTGGCTAACTATTCATTTTTTAAAGAATTTTGGGAGGTTATGATTCTATGTTTTTACCTTTTGAACTAAAGTACATCAAAAGACTATACTTGAATTGCTTTGGGGAAAAAGGACCGACATAATCAAATAAATGTCAGCACCAAATATAGGTGCTGGTAATGTGAACCTCATCCCTATATCTGAAAGAACAAAGACAAACCAGTACATGATGTTAGTGAGACTTTTCAAATTCTTCAACAAATTATCAAGTATCTCTCTAGCACATAAAACAAATCTTTAAAGGGCTGAGATTTAGCTCAGCAGCACAGCACTTGCCTGGCAAGCGCAAGGTCGTGAGTTCAATTTCCAGTATCGGGAAAAAAAAACAAACAAACCAAATCTTTAAATCTCATTCCTTTATATATTTGTGGTTGGTCCACTGGGGGGTCCAAGGGATATTTTTGAGGGTGAGGTCCCAAGATTAAAATGCACATATGCAAGACATCAGCAACAACAGCAGACAGCATAGAGCAGAACAGAGCAGAACACAAGGGTGCAAGAGCAGCCTGCATCATTATTGTATAATTCTTATACAGGTTGTTATCTCGTATTTACATTCTTACATAGTGCTGTAACCAGCACATGTATGTTTACCTGTGCTAAGTCACGGTTACATGAATGTATCCTGAGGTGTGCCTGTGCTGGACAAGCAAGGTCATGTCTCAAGTGTCCTTAGACTCCCTTGAACTTTGTTTTTTTTTTTGCGATGCCGGTGATCAAACTCACAACCTTGCGCTTGCCAGGGAGGCGCTTAGGGACACTGAGCTATATTCTCATCCCCTCCCTTGAACTTTGAAGCAGCCTGAGTGGTTCCCCACATTTGTGAAAGCCTCAAAATTTCACAAGGGAAATAACTTACTTCAAAAATAAACTTTGTAACTTAAATATAAAGGCAGATATAACGTAAAAAAAGTATATTTTAATCTGTCAAATAACAAATCACTGTTAAAAGGAAACTGGGAAGAAGACTATAATTGATTTTGTACATACAGCCTAATAGCGAATGTGTGATAAGATCAGTCGATTTCCTGATGGGCACAGCTGCATCCCGTTTTACAACTAAAGCATAATGGGGGTGGGGCTTACTAATTGCCTGGACCCTTTTCCTCATCTGGTACAGCTGCTAATTCTACCAGTTAATATAATGTATTGATTCTATGGTTATTTTTTTTCCATTTTAGTCCTAGGGATTTTTTTGAGGGTGAGGTCCCAAGGGATTGAACACAGGGCCTTTGCACTGAGCTACATCACCAGCACTTTTTATTTCTTATTTTGAGACAGGCTGAACTCCAAGTTATAATGCTCTCAGAGTACTGGGATTACAGGCTTGTACACCTTGCCCAGCTTGATTCTACACTTATAACACTAGCATCTAATACAGTCCCTGTTGAAACATGTAAGTCAACTAGTTCCTATAGTATCATGGTTGTTAGATACAATAGAAAAGGGAATCAAAACGAACATCTATTCTACATACTGTGAAGAACTGTGTTAGCTCTGGATTCTAGTTTTAAATTGTACTTGGTGCTACTTTTACCAAGTCCCTTTAAGTCACCATTACTCCTCATCTGTAAAACTGAGTGATTTTATTAAACTAACCTCAGCCACATGGTGAAGAAGTGAAGGTAATATAAATTAGGATTTTGCTCACATAATTTTGCAATTTTTAGAATATTAAATAATGCTTTCTGTAAGATACTTTGTAATGCAAATAAACTTCAGCAACATGGAAAGCCCTTAACTTCCCTTTCCCCATTTCAATTTTATACACTTTCTTTAAGGCTGAGTTTTAAACTTCCGGGTATATATTCTCTTTACCTCCAACAGCTGGCACAGTATCTTTGCTGACAGGACAAATTCAAAGGTCAGCCCCAGAAAACTCTTGAATAACTGCGTGGTTAGCAGTTATTCGGGTTCTAAAGGAGAAGTGGACTGGAGATGGTAGTGGGAAAGAAAAGGACCGTGAGGTGGAAGGGGAACTACAAATTTCAACTGTAGTTCGCAAATGTCCAAGGTACCGAAAAATATTAACATTAAATTAGGCTCAATATTGTTTCAGCTACGTCACCAGGTGGCCCTTATTTAATTTCTCTTTTCCCTACAATGTAGCACATAATAGGTTTTTAATTAAATGAGAACAAAGGAAGCAAGGAACCTGGGACTACCACGTAACACTTCATTGATAATACAGTTTAATATTTAAGTGCATGGATTCTGGGTTCAAACTAGTTTTGTTATTCGTATCTCTCCGCCTCACTTTTCTTATCTGTAAAATGGATTTAAGGGTCTGATCTCAGAATTAAATGAGTTAATATATGCAAAGCGCTTGTCTGCGTCATTCTTAATTGATTTAAGTAAAAAAAAAAAAAACCTCTAGAAAGGCACTGTCCTACTAACTTCTGCATGCTTACTACGGCGCCCAAAGCAATACTCAAAGCCTGCACGCTTTTAAAAATAAGGCAGCTGACAATAACCTGGGATCACCCATCAGATAGACGTGGAAGCCAGCGAAGGCTAAAAAAGGTCAGTACTCTGCGCCCCACATCCGTGCGACGCTGCCACTTTGTCCAAGGGAGCAAAGTGCTCTGGGAAGTGTAGTCCTTAGGCCTTGAAAGGGACTTCAATTATAGACTAAAGAGCCTGGAAGCTTGAGGGGGCCAGTGAAAGGTGTAGGGTGTTGGCCAACTCCAAAGTGTCGGGAGCCCCAGAGGTGGATTAAGTCACTCACCTGAGTCTCCCAACACCAGTACCTTTACCCGATCCAGGGACGCCATCTTGCCATTGCCTCGTCCCGGTTAACGCCTATTCCGGGATTCTGGACCAATCAGAGAGCGGTATGGAGAGCCGAGCCTTCAATTTCATTGGCCACTCGGAGTTTGATCATCTTGATTGAAGGCTTCACTGTGTTGATTGGCCCGTCTGGTTAAAGGGAAAGGGTGATTTCCAAGGCTGGTCGCAGGAATAAAGCGTCTTCTTTGTCGCACGGGTGGCGTGGGCTCCTGTGAGCCGGTGGTTGAGGTGCTGAGGGAAGCTCTAGTGGGGGAGTGTTCCTGGACTCGCTTCGGTAAACTTCGGTAAACCTTATTCCTTGTTCCCAGTTCCCTGGCCTGGCGTCCTAGTTCATGGTTTCTGCTTTTCGCTCCTCTTTCCCCACCCCCATCTGTGTAGCCGCCCTCGCGCCTTGGTCCTCCAAAGAGCCATGGACCCCGGAGCGGCCCGTGTGCGACCTCGGGTAGGACAGACTGGCTGCGCCGTGTGTGGCCCCGGGCCGTCTGGGAGAGAGGGAGCGTGGGTCTCGGGGTCTGGAGTGGGGAGACCTGAGCGTCACTGCTCTCAGCTCGCGCGTCCCTGTTTGTGCCGCTTTTTATGTATGAAGGTGGGACGTGCCGTGAAACAGCCCGTACAGGAACTGAAAACTGCAGCCGAACGTGTAGCATGCGGGCTCATCCAGAAATAAAATAGTCGTACACTGGAATAATCGAATCGAGCGCCTTGCATCCGCTCCTTTTTCCTTGTATTCTCCTCCCCTCAGTCAGCATGGGTTTGTTTGTTTTTAAATCACAAATTTATTTTTAAATAAACTTACTGTGGCTTTAAGCAGTCAGCTCGTGCTTAAAGCCACAGTAAGTTTAAGAAGAGGGTGGCTTACGGTTACCTTTTTCTATTAGGGAAGCAGGAGTGGCAAGTGAATGGGGAAGTTGGCAGGATGGGCATGTTGGAAGAACACGTGGCTGGGAGAGGTACTGAAAGTTTTTTGTAAGTACTTGACTAGCGGCGCCAGATGCTCCGGTTCCATGGTGAACAAGACGAGGGCCCTAGTCTTAAAGATAGACATGGAGAGAGTACAAGAATGGGAAAGAGTATGGGGACGTACGCTACCAGGGAGGAAAGGCCTCTGAAGAAACCTCACTTGAGACTTGAAGAATGAATAGGAAAAAGGGGCTTGGACCTAGTTTGGGAAGCTGAGGGGAGGAAGGCATATGTGGCCCATGCAATTGAGAGTGTGCTGGCGTCTCTGAGTATCAGACTCACAGGGGAGCAGAATTTAATTCTTTCAACCTTATTTTTCTGTGTGCGAAGTATTTGTATGATTAGAGTATGTGTGGGTCTGGACTAGGTAGCAGGTAGGTGAATTTGGACAATGACTTATAGACATAAAGATAAAAGTGGAAATAAGCTGGGATTACAAGCCTATAATCCCAGCATTCAAGAGGCTGAGGCAGGAGGATCCCTGTGAGTTGGGCTCTGTAGTGGCTTCAAGGGCAGCCTGAACTGCGTAGTGAGATCCTATCTCAAAAAAAAAAAAAAAAAAAAAAAGAGGACTATTAGATATCACATACTCAAATCTCCAGAAACCAGCCAAGTGCTTTTTCCTAGGTGTTGTTATTTCTAGTTTTCAAGAGGAGCTGGAAGTTGAAATTTATGCAAACCCATGATTTTTAATGTTGACAGTGAGTTATGCACAATGTTCAAAACATTCTTTGGATGAAAAAATGTGTGTTGCCTGCCTTTCAGACCTCTGTCTTAAGTAAGTTAAGAAAGCAGTAAGGAGATTGAGCATGAGTGGGGGAGGGAAGGTGGTAGAGGAGATAAGACAGTGGTCAGAGAGGATTTCAGACAAGATCAGGCGCATTCAGGGTGGGATGGCCATAGACAGAGGATTTCAAAATACAGAGATTTTGAAATAGGCACAGCTTGACCTCATTTTTGAGGTCCAGTTTTATTTATTCAGTTACCTGCTAGGCATTTTCAGAGGAATATGATACGTTATTGCCTCAAAGATAGACTTCTAAAGGTGAATACCTCTTTTCTTCCAAGGGTACTCTTCAGGTGTTACCTATTTCGATAGTAGTTTTCTCTTCTAAGTTACGGTGCTTAGAACTTAGTCCATGCATCAACTGTATGAAGAATACACTGTTTATTACTTTTTATATATGAAGAAATTGAGGCTGAGGATTTTCTGGGGTCACAGTATAAGAAATGGCTTAGCAAGACCCTGTCTCAAAATAAAGGGGGGGGGCTAGGTATGTAGCTCAGTGCAAAGACCCTGGGTTCAATCCCCAGTACCACCTGCTTCCTTTCGAAAAAAGTGGAACTGGAATTCAAGACCCTAGCCTTTTGGATTGCAGAGTTCTTATGTCACTCCCTACTCTAATCTTGAGGGCTCCCTAAGGTGTTTTAGGCTCAGGCTGAACAAACAATTAAATGGCATGGGAACCTCTCCAGGCAGAATATACATTGGCAGAATATATAATAGCTAGGGACAAAGATTGTCTAGAGCAGTAGTCAAGACTTTTGCCTCATGTTGAGTCATCTAAGAAAGCTTTTAAAATTAGTGTAATGCCTTATCTGGCCCTCCCAGACCAGCTGAAACAAAACTTCTGAGAATAGGGGCTGGGAGTGGTATTGGATGGCCCCCTAGGTGATTCTGCTATACAGCCAGGGTTGAGATCTATTGATCTGCTGCATTGAGTATGTGGGGAGAGGAGAGGAAAAAAACAACACAGGACGCAATACTGAAAATATAGGTTATATTGACGTTTGTCTTTTATTCTTTGGTCTTTGGACATTTCCGAACCCATTTATTGTATTCTTTTGACTGATCAATGTGCAAAACAACAAAAAACCAAAACTGAGTTTAAGTGCACCGTACAGACTACTTGGGATAGGAGAGCAAAATGGGTTCAGTAGTATGCTGTGGTTCTTTTAGTATTGAATGTAGGTATCCTTAATGCCTGAGGCGAACCAAAAGAATCTAGGCTCGCGTGTTTGGATCTAGGTGTTATTTTGTTATCTCTCCATGTACGTAGCTATACCTGAATATTTATAGACAAAGTGTATATTTTATTGTAAATGACTTTCCCTTTTTTTCTTTTATTATGGATAGACTAGGTATGTGTGTGGGTAGACTATATGTGTGTATGTATATGTGTGTATATATATATATATATATATGTGTGTGTGTGTGTTTTTAAAACCCAAAATATGTTTATAGCTTGGTTATGTAGGAATTTCTTTATGGTATAGTTCAGTGTTTATAAAAATATTTCTTATAGATATTTTAACCACTGATTTCAAATAAAAGGTTCAGTTGAAACTAGTTTTAATGACAATATTGTTCCTCGTTGAGTAGTTCAGTAGGGTTGTCTTGTTAAAATTTTCTCTACTCTTAGGAAGATTTCAGCAGATGTAGTCTATGGATAGCCTGGCCATTTGTACTTTGGAATGTCTTAAATTGATAGGGAAGCTGTCCTTGCCCTTCCGTCACACTTTATGGTTTATTGATTGTTGTGATTTTATTGTGAATGCATGACCCTTTAAAACATCCTAAAGTCTCAGTAGAAAAATTTTACTCAAGAAAGGAAACACAAACACTTTAAAGATGTGTTAACTGTTGGATTTCTCAGAAGGTTTCCTCTGTTCCTAGAGAACATTAAGAATCGCCAGTCCTGGTGATTTAAGTCTATAATCCCAATACTCTGGGAGGCTGAGGCAGGAGGGTTACAAGTTTGAAACCAGCCTGTGCAATGTAGCAACTTAGTGAGACTCTGTCTTAAAGTAAAACATAAAAAAAGGGAGCTGAGGATGTAGCTCAGTGTGAAGGCCCTGGATTCAAACTCCAGTACTGGAAAGAAACAACAAAGAGTGTATATTTCTGTATTTCTCTTTCTGACATAAAGTAGACTTGGTATAATATGTTGTTGTTATAAATAACAAGCCATTTTTTCAGTCAGGCACACTGTCCGTCATGAAAGTAACCATATAAGAAATATATTCAGTTTTTTATGTATAATCTTTTGTGCACTATAGAGGACAACCCTGTTCTTCCCTGTAAAATGTTTAGGTATTAGAAGTCTTTTAAAACAATGTTTGGATACCGTTGTGGCACTCCAAGAATAATGTAGCTACTAGTAACATGTTAATTATTCGAGATTTAAAATAATTATCATGTTCTCATGCCTACTAATCTTCTCTTTTTTTCTGAATTTAGTATATATAAAGTCAAAATTTGCTGGTTAAGATGGCAGACCCAGATGTCCTCACCGAGGTTCCAGCAGCTTTGAAGAGGTTAGCCAAGTACGTGATCCGAGGTTTTTATGGCATTGAGCACGTGTTGGCCTTGGACATTTTGATTCGAAACCCCTGTGTGAAAGAGGAGGATATGCTGGAGCTACTCAAGTTTGATCGGAAGCAACTTCGATCAGTTTTGAATAATTTAAAGGGAGACAAGTTCATCAAATGCAGAATGAGAGTAGAGACTGCTGCAGATGGGAAAACCACTCGCCATAACTACTATTTTATCAATTATCGTACTCTTGTTAATGTGGTAAAATATAAACTAGACCACATGAGAAGGAGGATTGAAACGGATGAGAGAGATTCCACCAACCGGGCTTCCTTCAAATGTCCTGTCTGTAGTAGTACTTTCACAGACCTCGAAGCTAATCAGCTCTTTGATCCCATGACAGGTGAGGCTTAATCGCATTTACGAATTGAGTAAATAAAGTGTGAATCTGTTTTCTTAAATTGCTTCATCTAGTTTTTAAGCCAAGCATGTACGTTTTAAAAGTGAATGGATTGGTGTGAGTCAGCAGTCAGTTTTACTAACCTGGTTGTTCATGCTTTGAGAAGGTTTTGCAAAGACTTTCTCCTTCACAAGGAAATAGATTTATCCAAGGGATTTTTCTACCCATGGCTGTCCTGCGTCTGCCCCTACTGTCACTCATTATTTACTACTACATCCTATCTGAAAGATGGGCTTCTGCCACTGTGAGGTTGTTCTGACTTTACTTTTGACCTCTTCTTTCAGCAAATATTTGAGCACCTATTTGTGCCATTCTCTACAGATCAGATAGTTATAATACAGTGTATGTAAATACTTTGTTAATTGAAGTAAAAAGTGCTATCAGGAGTACATAATTAGGGCACATAATCTGGATTTAGGGAAGGCCTCTGGGAGAAATTAAGTAACAACTGAGACCTAAGGGATAAGTAAGAGTTACTCAGATAAAATAAGTGGGGAGCCCTTTCCAAATTAATTAATAGATATTTACTGCCTCTTAGCCATGCATTAATGGAAAAGTTTCAACAGCATGCATAATTCACCTCATTTAACACAGACTTTAGTTCTAAGGGGTATTCTTATCAATACAATATACATAAAACATATTTTCCAAAAATACAATATGTCTAGCATTAACATAAGAAACTTTAAAGAGCTGGGCTGTAGAGTTATTTTGTCTTGTCTTTAAACTAGATAAAAGACAGTAATTAGCCAGTAGATCAATTTTGCCTTATTTTCTAGAAGTAAAAATCTATAGAAGGATTCATGCTGTTAAATTAGATTATTCTTTTGTTACAGTGGAATTTCAGAGTAGAGATCAATTAACTTTTAACTTTAAAGAGTTTTCAATTTTTAATTGACAATTTAATAATTTTTAGCTTATCATTTTACATTGAAAAATTTAATCTAAATTTGTATAGAAACATTTTGTTTTAAAAATTACGTATTTGTGTACATGCTAAATAAAGAATTTTTAAAAATTTTAAAGTAACCCCAATATCATTTTAGATTATTAACAAAAAGAGTTATTGAGCCTGTAACTTTTACTTTGTCTTATTTTCTGTGATGCATTTATTTGGATGAAAAAACTCAAAGAATTGTCATTTTGTTATTAGGTATTTGTTTGTCCCTGTTTACCCTAAAAGTCTTACTTAGGAGAGATCTTGGTTATAAAATCTTAACCATGCTGGTTATAAGAATTACTTGAGTGCTCTAATAAAGTAGGAAGATTGCAGAATATATCTAGAATTCTTTCACAACAAACTAGAAAGGTCTTGTGATTTTTGCCATTTATTCTAACAGATTTCTTAAAGAGCTATGGGTTTTGGTTTTGTGATTCTCTGCAGATGTTGGTGTTACAGTGGTCCTGTCTTCATCACTCTTGACTGCAGTGGAACGTGTTATCAAGTTCCTCAGAGAGGATAATCTGAAGTAATATGCTTCTACTACATTTATTATTCATTTGAGTCTTAGTTAATTTCATGAAACTTTGTAAAAGGAGGTGAATCCACTACTTGTATGTCATTATTTAGGAGATTGATCTAAGATGCTCTTTGAATTTCACCTATTTTTAGTTCCTAAATGAAACTAGCAATGATTAACAGCCTGTGAAAGAAGTAACCTGATATCCAGGCGTAGTCAGAATTATTTGAATCAGAGTTCAAATAGGGAAAAAGAGACATGAAAACGATTGCTTGGAAAGAAAGCTAAAAGGCGTCTGTGTTCCTATCACCCTGAACACAATCTTGTCTGAAAGAAAGGTTACATGGTGAAATGTGTGATGTGATCAGTTCAAACAGCAACTATATTTTTAATAAGAGGAGTATGGTCCGTATGAAAGTAGAAAGGAGTGTTGGAGAACAAAAAAGCATCACTTATCTTGATGTTACCTAAGTGGAGGGGTCCCTCAGCAGCCTGTACTAATATATTCGATTGACAGTTCTTTTTCCGTGGTAAAGCCTAAGTTACCATGATTGAAAATTTGTAATCACGAGGGACCCTAATTCTGAGAATGAACCTGTCTTTTGATTTTGATTTAGCCTTTACTGAACTTTCCTTGAAAGACAAAATGTGCTAATTTGTTATTGGGCCCAGTCTACGTACTTAGTTCTGGTGTTTTAGGGTTTTTTTTTATTGTTTTTATTTTAACTACTAATACCGTGATACTGTCCATTGATCTGTACGTCGTCTTTAAAAATCTGCAGTATTTCTCTTCTGTCCTCTTGCTTGGTTTCCATTCTCCTTTGTGAAGATGTGAAATAAATATTTGGTATGTGTAGCAGGGGAGGAGGAGCTTTTTCTGCACTGTCTAAATTAGTAGATTACAGTTTTCACTCGAACCTCAGTCCCATATAAACCTATCCTATTTCCTGGTTGCTAGTGGGGATTAATATTATTTCTGAACGTGTGTCTGGTCAAATGATAGGGATAACTGCTGGCCTCTATTTTTATTCCTTTTTCAGCAGATCTAAGGTTAAACTGGTATCTCTGCTATTAGGGAACATTCAAGAATTAGATTTGATGCCTTCTATACTTTACTGTTTTTCTGATAAAAAGTTCTTCAGTCTGTGGGTAGCTTTTTACCACCAGAGGAACAGTGGTGATTCCTAGATGAGCTCCTGAAGAGCACTTGACAGCTCTGGGCTCAAGGTTCTGAGCTCTGCACGGATTGTTTTACCAGGGTTAATTGACATACCGGTCAGCGATCTATTTCAGTTTGCAGCTTGTCTGCTTTCTCTGTACTTGCCTTTCCAATTTTGCCTTGGTGTTCACTCTCTTTAAATAGACTTAGCATTTCTATTTTAGCAGTCTCAGCCACGGATGATTTAGTTAATGGCACTTCTAAGTTAAGTTCAGCAGCATGTCATATTTTCTTTGTAGGTGTTAAGGTTAAGTGAGATGGAAGTAGCTTTATATTTTCCATTTTTAGTTTCAGATTATACATCCATAAATCAAAAAATATGAAAAAAGTCACCCACAAAACCACCGTATCATCTTTAGCATATTATCTTTAGTTTTAATCATAGTGCAGAATAGTTTGTAATCTCTTGGTGTCTTAATTGTACCAAACTCTTGTTTCTAATTAGTGTTCAAAATATGTTTTAATAAGTCAGATTCCTGTGTTTCCCTGCTAACGCTTTGGGGTGCTTTGATTGTATCTGTTTTTTACTGGCATAAACGAGGTGCTTTAAACCTTTGTCTCGTATTTTGTTCCTGTTAAAGTTTTTCCTTAAGAATTTTGGAGGCCATATTACTAAATTTATCTAGAGATCACAGAATTTCATCTTAAATAAACTTTGAGATGAAAGATAATTTGAATTTTTAAGATAGTATAAATATATACTTAACAAATCTTAAAAATAGGAATTGAGAGATTGTCTCGTTCAACTCAAAATGATGTTTGTGTGGGTGCCACATTCATCGTTTGTATGTTGTATTTGGAGATTTGTAGGCCTTGCAAAGTAATGTAATGTGTAAATCTACAAGTACAGGAAGTGCTGGGATCTTTGAGACTGAATATTAGGGAAGAATATGATAGTCTTGGAGACTGAGCTTATGTTTGTATGACTTCTTGAACATTTAGATTTAGAAACAATAGATTTTAGAACTAGCATGAAGAATCTTTGATAACAAAGTCTCTAATAACTTTGAAAATAGCCACCCTTGTAATAGATGACGAGTTTTGAGGTACTTTGGAATAGTCAAGTAAACTTTGTATCTACTTGGGATATTTGTAGTTAAGCTTGGGGTTAGATCATGGGTTCTTTATTGCCTCATGACTGCCACATAAATTTTTTTTGGTTTAGACAAATCAGTTGTCTGACTCTCATAACATTCAAATTTCTTTTGCATTTCTATGTATAGTTTTAAATTATTAGGGTTCTATATTTGTGGGACTCTCAAAGACTTCCTGAGAATGTTTGCCTTCATAGGGCAAACTACTTTCTCCTGCTTTCATCTCTCAGCATGGACAGGAGATGTCTTGCAAGTGATGTTTTGAGTTTCTGAAGTGCTAAAAGCACAGACAAACAAAAGTAAATCTTAAGATTGTTTGCTCAGTTGCTGAGGCCTCAGTCTTCTGAAATTTTACCCAGGATGAGTTAATTAGAAAATTGCACTTGGTTGGCGGATGAAAGGATAGAAAAGGTGATTACTAGAGTCAGTTAAATGAATATATAAAAACAAGTTATGGAAAATAGTAAGGTACGAGTGTCTTTCCTCATTTCCCCTTCTCTATCTCACATCTTTGTCTGATTTTTTAAAATTTGGCTGTTTTTTTTTTGTTTTTGTTTTTGGTTTTTTTTTCTGATACTGGGAATCAAACGCTCGACCTTGCGCTTGCCAGGTAGGCGCTTATGCCGCTGAGCTAGATCCCCAGCCCCTGTTTTTCATCTTGCGAATTTGAAAGCCTTTTTTTTTTTAAAAAGCTTTTGTGATTTTCTTTTTGTATTTTGATGCTAAAATAGAGCTAATTTATTTGTGGAGAATTGCTCTCATGTTTTGGTGCTGGCATACAACACTAACTTGGTTATTATCTTTCAAATATTCATGTTACGACCACAGACTTTTTTTTATTCCCTTCAGAAGCAGAGATTGAACCCAAGGCCTTTAGACTGAGGTACATCCCCAGCCCCTTTTTCATTTTGAGATAGGGTCTCACTAAGTTGTCCAGGGTTGAGTTTGAACTGGATTTGCCTGCCTCAGCCTTGCAAAGTGCTGGGATTACAGGTGTGCACCACCAAGCACTGCATTGAGACCACAAACTTTTTCAGATTGTCTTTTTTTTTTTCCCTATCCCCAGGCATAGTACATTTTTTACCCCTTTATAGTGAGTTCTAGAATTTAAGAATAGAGCATGGTTAGACCAGATCTAGGTAAATGCCCATTTGAGGGGAGATAGAAGCC